TAGTAACAAAAACAAATAGTATGATAAATAAATATCATAACCCCTTTGTATTAGTTATGATTATAATCTATTGATTTTTACTCAAAATAATCATCACATTAGTAACCATCTTTATTTTAACTATTTTATGTGACAAATTTATTATATATGCTTGAATCGTTACTTCAACTTGTAAATGACAATTTTGTTTAAACTTTAATTTTTAACATGTTTAGCCTACCCTTGATTGTTGAACAGTTCGTTGCTTACAATGTCGATATTATGTTAAGATTTCGAAATAACTAGATTTCTTAGTTTGTATGTTACAAATATTATCATTCTTTACTTAAATCTTTTTATCTACTGTAATCATATATAAGTACAATGGATTGTGGCCCAAACAATCTTTTCCTATACATGAAATATTTATATAATTATGAGGTCTGATAAGGAAAGACTTGTTAAGCCAAGGTAACGAAGCATATATTTCAATATTGTATCAATTTTATCACAATGTTGAACTAGAAGCTAAGAAAAAAGTGAGGAAGCGTGCTTTCTAGAACTGATCAATTCCTATCCTTAATGTCAACAACACATCAGCGAATACATTTAAAATAAGTAAGAACTGTTATTGTGTGAACATCAAATTAGTTTACGTCACACTGATTATTATTGACTTATTCTGTAATGTCTCAGAATGGACATATTCACACGAACTTATAAATGGATCAAGATAATTAACCATATTTCATTTCTAATAAAATTTAACTTAAATTTATATCTTTTCTATGTCAACAAATCAGTGTGAGCCATATATGTAAACTAATTAATTATTATGTCTATTTGTCAAAAATGATGATATTTTTCGTTCTTTAACCAAATTCAACCAGCCAAAAGTTTTTATATGAAGAAAAGAAGATTGGAAAAAACTGAAGCGAAGAAAAATCCCATTATTTCTTCAAGTTTTTTTATAGTTTCATGAGTAGTGTCATTTAAGATTAAACTAAAAAACCAATTAATGTAGAAAGGGATACAAAAATTAATGGAATCATAATTTAGAAAGCTCTTATTCTCAGATATTTTGACAGTATGTGAATTGCGTATATTATCTGAGTTAAATTCAATGGATAAAATATATTGTAACAAATAATGAATGGTAATAGTTATTTTATTAAAATTATGATCAACTAAAGGGTACATAAGAAAACTAAGACTTAATGACAAATAATGGAGATTAAATACAGCTCTATGAGTCTTAAGTAAGGATTATATTTCATCGTCGGGTTAATTGGGTCCCTTTAATAAACTTATCACTGAATACGAATTAGAAACAATTTCAAAATAACTTCCTTTTTTAACGATATAAATTTTCTTTTGTACTTTAACTATGATACTTCTCAAGTGAAATAATTGGTTATCTCGTTGAACGTATCATGACTAAAATCTATGTAATCGAACTCAAAATAATTAAAAGTGAACATATTTACTTTGGCATGGTATTTACTTATGATTTTTAATTGTACTGCAACGATCTTTTTTATGTTAGATAGTTCATAATATACTTTCTCTAAAGGTTTAACATCATTTTGCTCACTGAAGCTTATTAAAATAAAAATAGAGAAAATGAAAATATGTTTTATAAACTTATCGAGTGTAACTATAATATTCTTGAATTGAAAAAGTCATTTTTGTTGTTTGATACCATAATCCTGAAGGAATGAAGTTTGTAGTCACCGATGATATGTTGAGACCTCACAGCTTATTCTAGCTTCTGAACAGGTCGATCTCTTCATTCTTCTTGTGTCACGTTTTGACTTAGTTAATTATTCACTTATCAACCTTGACTGTTTTTATATGAGCGCATATGATTGTGTATATCTTATTCTAGTCATGACGTCTATAGTTTATTTTTGTGTGACTATAAATATTGATTAACGTTTGATTAAATCGAATTGGCTAACATGTCTTCTCCAACGCGCGTCATTTTGCTTCGCTTTCTTCTATTCGCTTCATCCATCTCATTTTCTGTCCAGATCAGTGAGTGTACAAAATATATGTATTCAAGCATCCATTCTCGTATTTGACTTATTTAATTTCGTTATTTACTAACGCGATTTAAGTTGATGATTATATACGAGGATAGACGATTTGTATATTTCAACAACCATTCATACGATCTACTCGAAGTCCGATTTCGGGCCACTAAAGTGGTGACTTCGTTGACAACATTGTTTAATCTAATTGACGTCAAAATGAAGGGCCCCACTAAAAGTCTTACAAACGTATATTATTAGTTACATTTATTATTAGAATTTTTTATAAACCCTTTGTACTTTCCTCATTCTTAAAAGTGCATCTCCCTCTTCTACATAGACAAACTGATAAGCTGCATTGTGTAAGTCATAATTTAGACAAATATAAATCTTTATTTAGACTGTAGTAACTTTGATACTTTGAATTTATTTAATAACTGGATTTTCTTTTGTAAATTTTGTAATTCCAAAACAGTTATTTAAAACAAATATGGTAAGTTAATTTATGCTTTTATCAACTAACAAAAATTAAACTCCTACTGTACAATTGAGTTGACATATTTTTCTCATTATTCACTATTAAAATAATGGTGTCTATTAAGAGATAGTAACTCACTGAAGATAATGGTGGATGTGTTGCTCAATTTCGTGGGTTAGTTTATGTTAAACAATAATGCAATTGGATGCCAGTTTAGTGGTCTAAAGTTTAAGCGTTCATGCGTGAAACTGATATGTTTTGAGTTTGAATTTTGCTAGGCGAAATCTTGGATGTGCACTGCCAAGGAGTCCCACAATTGAACGATACAGTCGCCTAGTGCTTCCAGATTTTGCAATGGCGGTCTAGCTTCAATTGACTCACGATCTCAACTTTTAAATTTACCATAACATCCACAAAACCCCTTTCTGATAATAATAATAATAATAATAATATTGTTTTTCCTTTCATGTTAAACATGATAACAAACGTAAGAAAAAAAAAATTGTATTTCATTCTATGCCCATTTTCATATTATAAATCTCATCTAACTAAAATATGTTATTTTCCACAGTGCTTTTTTATAATCTAAATGAATTATATTAACAATAATATCTATATACTGTATGCTTTGCTATAATTAACCATCATTTATTCCCTTATTTTAAAATTTATATTATACAATACTACTACAAAATCCCTAGTGATTACAATCATATTAACCTACCAACTATTTTATTATGATTTATTATTAATCAAATAGATATATTCAGTTAAACAACTAAAAATTCTATGAATTTCAAAATCTACTTGTTTTTATAGAAAAAAAAATGTTCGTTTGTTTGTTTTAAATCAGACAATAAAATAAACTAATTTTTAAATCGTTTTTTTTCGTAATCAGACATATTTTAGAAAATTTTATTTTAAAAAAATTATAATTTTCCTTTTTTTGATCAAAAAAATGAATCTCGAACAAGGTTGGTTTTTTTTTAAAATTTTTGATTTACATATTACTATTTAAAAACATAATAACATTAAGGAGATAAATATGGTTACGTCTTTGACTATACGGAAATTGAAAACCCCTTTATGTGTTTAAAAACAATTTGTCCTTACACTTAACCTACCCTGGTAATACTGAAATATAGTTACGTTTAATTTCATAAATAAGATAACAAATGAATATCAGTTTTACTGTGACTGAGATTATATCGAAGTTCTCATAGGTTTTTTGTTTATATTTTAATGATTGAAATGTGTTTACTTATAGTTTTTTGTTCATCTAACAAGTTCAAAGGTTCTGGGGGTTATTTACAAATAATTATTGGATTTATTATTATTATTATTACATATGAGATGGTAACTCACTGATGACAATAGTGGATGGTGGCGCAACTTTGTGGATTAGTTGAAGTTAGGCATTAGCACTGTTGGATATCGGCCGGCTTAGTGGTCTAGTGGCTAAACGCTCTCGCGTGAGACTGATAGGTCCTGATTTCGAATTTCGCAAGGCTTGGTCATGGATGTGCTCTGCTGAGAAGTCCCATGCTAGGACGAAACAGCCGTCCAGTGCTTTTAGTTTCTCCATGGTTGTCTAGCCTCAGTTGATTCATGAATTCAACTCTTAAAATTACTATAATATCCACAAAATCCCTTCTCTGATTATTTAATAGTTGGTGATATTTTTTCTATTAACTTTCTGCTTAATTTAAAGTTAATCAGTTCTGTACGTGTATTCTGATATCTAATATGTTGATTCTTTATCACAATAGTTCTTTTATTGGTTGCCTATACTGGAATAGTTTATTTAAATCACCCTTCTCTTTTATTAGTCTTATCATATGTATTTTATTCATAGTTTCTGTAAGCAAATTACTAAAAATTTATATTTCCATTGAAATAAAATTTTCATTACAACCTTATAAGTAATCAATGATGTCTGGTTTCTAATCATCGATATGATTACAACTAATCACGTTGTACTGAATTATCATTCGTTTTTACGCTTAATAACATTTTATAATTTGCATAAAAATTAATTAAAATCTGAAACTTAACTAAAGATGAAAATAATAATACTGATACATTGTAAATATATAGAAAGTCTGATGAGCGTACAACATTTGTTCCCTTAGGATTCTGGAGCTAATGTGATTTGTATGGCGCATATGTATTCAGTACCCCTTTGTACCAATATTTATGTGCTTAAATAAATAAAAACATAAACTGGTGAGCGTAATTTTTGTTGTTTACTTCTGTTCGAATTTTTAAGAAAGTAAAAACAAAGATCCTTTTCCGAGTCAAGATTTCGTTAGTATTCAATATATAATATGATCTGCATGAAAATGTTATAATTTTAAAAGTGTATATGATGTCTGATGAAAGACAATCATTAAATTCAAAAAAGAGTTTGATCTTATGGTCAACTATTAATAAGCATGAGCTTATTATTTTTGATTTGAATGCATATAGAGCATCGAAACGATTTATTAAAAAAATCGCAAAACAATTACCTGCTTTTCATGTCGACATTCATATAGATTTTGATGTTGTGGGAAACATTGAAATAATGCTGTTCTTGAAAAGCGTTTATTCGGTGTTTCATTAAAATCAGGCAAATTTGATTGTAGACATTTTTCTTTTCCTGTAGATTTTCTACATGAATGATTGTCAAACGGTTCATTTATTGTTTTGTTTGCTTCATGAAAATTTCCATTGTCTCTTTCATTATCTAAAGTGGTGTATGTTTGTCTCTCTAACCAACTTGATGCATCGACAAACAAAGTTTGACCTGTCCAAAAAGCTTTCAAGATTTCATATGTATGAAAAAATCTATAAGCAATAATGAAACAGTCTAAAATTAGTAAACTTAAACGAATATGTGTTAAAGTCATCACTGGTAACATCGGATGTTTATTTGGATAGTTCAAAGGACTTTGAACACTTTGTTGAGTATTGTATTTAATATATTGAATAAAATTCTCTGAAATAAAAGTATTTTGTTCGTTGAAAATGTCCTGTGTAAATTTATCACTGACTGAACTAATCGTACCATCGGTATGTTCTTCCAAATCATTCGTTGTTAGAAATACACGTTCTTGTTGAGTTTTTTGAATTTGTAAAGTTTTAAAACTATTTACTTGATGATGTGTTTTAAAATTAACCTCAGAATTCATGGAATGGCTAGATGCTTCTGAGGATAAGTGAAACAGTGAACGATAATGATTCGGAGAATTGAATACTTTCTTAAGACTGAAATAAATACAAAATGAAAGATAATTAGGGTAATCTTAATTAAATTTTTTTGAAATATTAGTTCAGTATAATTAATATTTCAAAACTGAAAAGATTACTCATACGGTGGTGCATGCTACTTATATTTATGTAAGTAGTATATGACGCGAGTCAGGAACGTAATGTCTGGCAGTAGATGATGGAGGAAGATCAAGGAAAGAAGAGCGAGAACATAATGCAATTTGTAAGAAAACGCATGAACAATGAAATGTGAGACAACGGATTGATGATTGCAACAGCAACAGTCTGGTTTGATATGATGGAATGATATTTTGCAAATTAACGATTTGCTATATTGGTTTTCTATTTTAGCAAGTAACTCTGTAAATTTGTGCTATATGCATTCGGTTGTCCCTACTCGTGTTCTGTTCACTACAATACTATCTATTATTGGAATATAGAGTTTTCAGAAGCTAATTTTATGTTTTGTAACTGAAATAGATAACCATCTATAAACTATATATCTATAAATTGCACAGTGAACTGTATTTTAAAGGATCATTTCGTTTTAGCTAAATTAATATAGTCTAAACTGAAGTGTGATAAACTTGATCCAGTTGTTATTCAGTGACCAATCAATGTGACTTGATGTCATACTGCATCTTATCAAATATGAGCGGCTGAAAACAACACTTCAAAAGCCATAGAACTAGATTCCAGATCATATGATTTTTCATAAACAGAATTGACTCATCAATAAATATTTGACACCACGAAATTTATATTTACTCCGTGACCAACTAATGCTAGCATCCCAGTCTTGTATTCGAATAGATGGAAATACCACTGACTATGATGCTCAATATTTTAGGATTAAGCCCATCGCCAATAATCTGTTGCATCTAAAATCTCAGATGCTCCTTATTTAATGACTATTCGCTAGACTAAAGTATTGATTTGGCACATCCAACTGTTTTCTTTCAACCATTTAAAAGTGACCGTTTCCATATTTATTCATTGTCACAGTTTTAAAAAAAAATTAAACCATATGTTGGTTGATTGGATTACTTCTTATCATGGCGTTCCAGGATTTGGTTTAATCCAACGTTTATAAAATTAGATAAATTTATATTAGAAGTTCTGTTCACCCGTGAATGCTTATGATTACTATTTGATAAAACAGTAGTACAGAGAGAATGAATAATAGTTATACTCGATTTATAAAACACATATTTACATTTCGTGTTTTCTCAATCACATTGGTGTGCTAGTGGTTATCTTATAGGCTTATTTTTGTTAAATACAAATAAAATTATTTAACTTTGAGCGATTTATTGTAGAAAAAATAATAGGCTATCAAAGATGAAATTACTCCCTAGTTCATTTCTTAGCCTCAGAGCATCTCACCATTAATGAAAAATAGAGTAACCTTTCAAATTTGACTATTAAAACCCAAAGTAATTTGGTTTACTTAGTTAAATCTAAATGTTTGCTATTTTAACATTACAAATATGTTGTTAGCAATCTTTTTTATTGTTCAGACGCCAAGTATAGACGAGTAATGCTTTCTAACAAATTTAAATAGATTTGAATGTAATTCGAAAGTGAAACAGTTTCACGGTCGTGTTAGTAATAATCGATAAGACTGGCTTTTTAGTCTTATCACTTATAATTTATTCCTTTTTAGTTAATTCCGTTTTTAAATTAGGTTCTCTATCTGCTAATGACTATCACTCATACTAATTATCATCGTTTCCACAAAAAAAGATGCTTTTATTAATCAGTTACCTGATTATCATGATCTTCGAGGTCGTTAATAAATAGTTTTGAGCAAATTAAATATATAGAAAAATCTCATACTGACAAAGAGAGCGTGATAATCACTATACTGAGTTCCAAAACAAAATGTTTCAAAACAAAACATTTTATGCGGAATAATAGGAATAAATTAAATAATTCATAGGTTCACAAAACGTTCCTCAAATGATATTTCCAAACTACTAGACACCTTGTTCATAACATATAACAGAAACATTTTGTGTTAACACTCAAGTGAACACTGATTTAAAACCACATACAAAGCCGTCAATAATTAATTAAGTTTAATGGCTCTTTCATCAGTTAAGATTCAAAAGTGTAGTCTTTTGTAATCATTTCAAGAAGTTCTAAGCTGAGATTAAGCGTTTGTCACTAGGGAATTTATGTTCCTTCAGCAACTTTTGAATAAATTATCTCAGAAATGTTAGAACAATATTAATATTTCTAATTTTGCAAGAATGACCATAAAATTGTAACTGAAGTTCTATGGTTATAACTAGCTTTTGAAGGTAAGAGCTAATCGGGATATATATATATATGTTAAGTTGGAACAAAATTTGCAAATCCCTAACTAAAATTAATCCAATAAATTAATATCTGACGAGGTTTCAATACTTGTCTAATTAACATAACTATTATATAATTAAGATGGTTTTAGATTACATAGTAAAAATTATTTTTAAAAGGCTGTTCGAAATAATGATTTCTATTGTAGTAGTTATAATAATCTATTCAACCATAAAAGTGTCCAAAACGTTTATGAATAACTCTTTGATGTTTCCTTTGTATTGATTGAAGTGATTAGGCATGGGCACTAAAATGGAATAATTTCGTTTTATTCGTTTATTTACTAGAAGGATACATGCTTAGTATAATGCTAATTTTTCATGTATTACTTTACTAGATCTTGTTTTTGTTTAAAATAAGAGATAGTCGATTTTATTCTGAAGGTATACAATTGCTTAAATATTCATTTGCATGTTATAAGACATTTGTTGTTTTGAAAGGATGTGAATTTTCAAGAAACATTTGGAACTGAAGATATTTCTCACGGTAGAATTACAGTTTAACATATGTTGTACAGGTTGAATACTAACTACCCTGTTAATCATTTTAAGGGTTAAAATCCCAAAGTCATAGAAAGTTAACAGATCTAAAAGTTTAGAATTAATGAATAACCTGACAATTTTTAGTAACTAGTTGGGAAATAAATCAGTACCAGTGTACAAATATCAACTGTTTGTAAGTCAAATTGAATTTCTGTCACGATCATTTAAATAATCTGCTCTTACTTCAGAATTTTCAATAACATCAATAAAGACGTTTAATGCTCAGTCAGCACTCAATAATGTTTCATTTAAATTAAAGACTCTACAAGAGTGGAGACCCACAAACACATTAGGGATCGAGATCAGTATCTTCAGACCTCTATGATAACCCATTAGTATTTGCTCAGTTGGTTGTAATCCATTGGTTGATTCTCGATAAACATATGTAGTATGTTGTTATTCGGCATTTAAGCTCATCTTCCGCCTCTACTTACCTGATTTAAATGATGAGACTAAGAACAAAATAAAACATGATATTTCGCTTGCAAATAGTACACGGTTCCGTGTGTCCACTTGTTTCAAACGTTCGGCCAGTGATATATATGTTATAGACAAATGTTATCATTCAAAATGTATCATTGGCCTATAAAAGGTGCTGTAAGAGTGTTTTGTAAGTTATAGGTTGAATTGGATACTAATTCTCAAGTCTCAGCTACTGCATCAACAGAAATAGAAGTGATGATTAGAATTTATCAGTACCTTCTTCGTTGAAATTAAATTAGGAATAAAAACCTTAAGTACATTTTAAAGAATTTCGGTGATTTTCTTTACTAATCTCTGTTAAAAACCATGAACCAATTGTTTCAGTCAAGATTGTGAAAGGAGTGACTTACGGAAGAGCCTCAAACCAGCAATAGCTTTTCAGTAGTTTGCATAACGACAGAACTAGGAAAACTTGAAAACTACACTTTTGAACGAGTATTATTTTAAAGGTAAATAAATCCATTGTTGTCCTTTGAATGACATTAGATAATGCAGCTGATTACTTCTGTATGTTATTTTTAGCAAGTAGATTTAATTTATAACTGATTGACCACTGCCTAGTGATCAATGTCACGTGTGCCAAGCCCTTCTCAGTGAGGATCGTAACTAACCAATCAATCGTAAGTACACCTCAGTCCTGCAGGAGGTCAGTTGTGACCCAGATAGCTCAGCAGTAATGTCTCTGACTATGAAGCTGGTTAACACGGGATTGAATCTGTCAGGGAGTTTCAGTTCCCGCACGATTGCAGGTACACCTTGTTGACGAGTGCCAAAAAGCATGCAACCTAGGTCCAAAGTGTCATGTCAAGTACCTCCAACCACCATCTCAAGTAGACTTAAGTTCGACTATTACTGGTCTGAACTCCGCCTGTAGCTCTTCTAGGGTTACTGCTTGTCCCAAGCCTGTGTGAAGGAGGAGAGTTGAACATTTAGTCAGAAACTCCATCTCGTAGGAAAATGTCTTGCTAAAACAACGCTAACCAGATTAAACAAATTAAATTTTTCAGACTCTGCCCTGGTAGTTGAAGGAAGAATTATGACACCTTAGACTCAAAGCCAAGATTCGTCGGAAGCTACGAAACCGATGCTCCTTATAACCAACAGAGCAAAACTTTTTATATGTACATGGAACGTCCGGACAATTTGAGAGACTCGGAGGACGAGTCAAACAGCAACGGAAATAAGGAGATACAAATTGGCACTACTCGGAATCAGTAAGATCCGTTGAACCCAAGCTGGACATCAAAGGTTAGGTGCGGAAGAGATGCTGCTGTACTCTGTTCATGAAGAGGTAAATGCTCCACACACTCATAGAGTTGCTCAAATGCTATCCAAAGAAGCACGAAATGCACTTATTGGATGGGAATCTCACGGAACCAGGATCATCAAAGCACCCTTCAAAACAAAGAAGGGGAGAATCACCATGATTGTTATCCAGTGTTGTTCACTCACCAATGATAGCAATGACAACTATAAAGATTAGTTCTACGATAGGCCAAGGACCTCACCATCCTGACAGGAGATCTAAATGCTAAGATCAGAATCGACAACATCTGATATGAAGATATCATGGGACGATATGGACCGAGAAAGAGAGACGAAAACGGGGAGAAATTTGCAAATCTATGTGCATTCAACAGATTGGTTGTGGGTGACACAATATTTCCATACAAAGGCATACACAAAGCTACATGGATCTCATCGGACCACACCAAATAGATCAGATTTGTATCAATAAAAACTTCAGAAGGACAATGAAGGACATGCAAACCAGGAGAGAAGTTGACATTGTTTAAGATCACCACCTGGTTGTATTCAAGATGAGACTGAAGCTCAAGAAACACTAGACAGCTGGGAAAACAGCAGTACAAAGGTTCAATGCAGCCTTTCTTCAAGATACTAACATACTCAACGAATTCAAGATAACTCTGAACATCAGCGTCAAAGCCTTACAGAATCTGTTGAAAGAAGAAGAAACTACTATGAAGGACGACTGGAAAGAGACCAAGGAAGCATTAGTTTCAAGCATCGTCATCATGAGGAACAGATCTCTATGGAAACCCTGTTTTGGATTCAAGAAGGAAGAACAAGAAAACAGCAATTTACAACAGCCAAACAAGAGCAGAGAAAGTCAAGGCACACACCGAACAGGCAAGTGAAGAAGATCATTAGAGCCGACAAGCAGAAACACGTGGAAAAGTAAAAAGCCGAAAGAGAAAGAAATTCAGGGCAGCTATATGACGCAACGAAGAAACTAGTAGGGAAATAACGTAAACCAGAGAGACCGGTCGAGAACAAAGAAGGCAAGACAATTAACGAGATTCAAGAATTCTTCACTAGATGAGCCTTATTGAATCCACTCGATATCGAAGCAGCACTCACAGACCTTCCGATAAATATTACTCCACCAACAGTCGAAGACATTAGCATGTCCATAAGAAAAATCAAAAGTGGATAAGCAGCTTAACCTAAAATCATACCAGCTGAAGCTCTGAAGTAAGACAGAGAAGTAACTGTAAGTATGCTTCACGTTCTGTTCAGAAAGATTTAGGAGGAAGATCAAGTTCCAACAGACTGGAAAGAGGGACACCTCATCAGCATACAAAAGAAAGGAAATCTGAACAAAATTTAGAACTACAAAGACATTACGCTACTATCAATGCCAGGAAATTTTTTCAACAGAGTGTTGCTGAAGTTGATGAAAGATGTAGTAGACACCCAACTTCGAAATCAACAAGCTGGATTCCGTAAGGACCGGTCGTGCACAGACCAAATAACGACGCAATGGATCATCGTTGAACAAGCAGTTGAGTGGAACTCGTCACTATACATCAAATTCATTGACTATGAAAAGGCGTTTGACAGTGTCGATATGAGGACCTTATGGAACCTTATTCGATACTATAGAGTACCTCAGAGGATCTTCAATATCATTCTAAATTCATGCTACGGACTACAGTGCAAGGTGGTGCATTTAGGACAGTTGACAGATGCATTTCAAGTGAGGACCGGGGTCAGATAAAGCTGTTTACTCTCACCCTTCTTTTTTCTTCTAGTGGTTGACTAGATTATGAAGACCTCGACATCAGAGGAAAAGCACGGAATACAGTGAAGTGTTTAGAATCAACTAGACGATCTGAGGCAAGCTCTAACATGAAATCCTTAAGGAAAGCAGAAGAACACACTACGTCGGGGATTAAAAGCAGACATGGAAAGGATGAGTAGAAACTGGAAAGAACTGGAAAGGATTGCCCAGGACAGAGTTAGATGGAGAGTGGTAGTGTGTGACCTATGCTCCTCTTTGAGGGATGACAGGCGTAAGCATGTAAGTAATTACTTATCTGGATATAAATTACTATATTGAAAATATTGAGGTCGTTTTGTGAATATGGTTCCACTAAGTAAATATACCACTGTACAGTACCAACATATTCTAAAACAAACGATTTTTATTATCAGCAAAATCGCTATATATACTACTTTAAATAAAAGATTATTTTAAGTCCCAAAACGAATATCTTACTTTTCAAGCAGCTGTAATGGTAACAGGTGAACAGCATCAGCTTGGTAAAAATTCATATAGTTCATTAAAGCTACATATGATGCTTTGATACCGGATCTTTGTTGAGCAAATTCGTAATATCTTCTCATACTGTCATGAAAGTTAAGTTTAGTTTCTGTATGTACTTTGTGATTTGAAAAGTGTCTAGAATTTCTTTCTAAGTTATCTGAAGTGTTTAACATACGTTTAACATATTGAAGCCAACCAGAATGAAAAACAGAATTTAGCATATTTGTATAGATCTTATAAGATTCAGAATCACGGAAATCTAACTTTTGACTCATTTGTTCATATAAATGATCGAATAATGTACGTTGTTTGTTGAAATGAATATTTGCTAATTCGTTGACAGAACGTAGTGTGTTGTCGTTTAAAGTATCAGTATTTTGTGATGTACTATTAAATTGCCATTTTTCAAGCCTAGTATTTACCAAATGTCTACCTTCTCTGAGAGCATCTGTCAATTCAACTGTCATAGCGTGTTGACAAGCTAACTTCATACGTTCAACGTAATCAAGTTGTCTTTTTAATTCTTGTTCAGTAAATTCTTCTATCCAATGGACTTCAGCTTGAAGCCGTAAAATGGGACCAATTAGATGAATCTGATCCAATTCTGTTTCATGCATTGGCAAGGATGATGTTGTTAAAACTGATATTGGTGATGGCCTGTGCATACTACTGTGAAGTGAATTGAACTCTATTGACTCTCGATTTATTTTTGGCCATTGTAAAATATTATCAAATGTTGAAATCCTACTTGAAGGTTGTAAACTAAATATTAAGGAGACAGCAACACTGAATGTAAATAGAAAGGTATAAAAGACACGGAATGCAAGATGTGTAAATAAAAATATTCGTTTTATTTGTGAGTTATTCGTATTCCATGTATTATGATTGAGCCAGGTAGAATTCGATGAGAATTTTCGGTAAGAGCTTTGTGACTCATTGCCATAGTGATGATAGGGATGTTTCTCAACGATGGTGGGATGATATAAGGTTTGTCTAGTTGGAGGAAATGTTTGAATGTAATCTTCACCTTTTCTTGATGTTGTGTAATACAAAGTACGATTATTCAGCTTGATAGGAAATGGATGAAGTAGTAATTGATGGTACTGTAGGTCATTACCATAATGATTATTACTAATTTGTTTCTGATATTCAACCGAAATCGGATATCCTTTGTTTGATATGATACAATGTTTTATATATACAAATATAATCAGTACCAAAAAATAAAGCAAACTAATTCCAATCGTAATAAATAATAAAGGACTGAACATAACCCAGTGTGATGGTTCTTCCACTGTGCTCTTGTTCGAATGTATGCTAACTATTGATCCTTTAACAACACTACCCTGAAGCATTTTGTCTTTATTTCGATGGCTGAAAAGTGGACTGTATATTCTTAATCCGATATTGGCATCACACTCTTGGATAATTAGATCAAAAATTAATCTTGGCTGGAACGGTGACGGAAATAATGGAATCTCGTTGATTGAATTAATATCAATCTGATAAGTTATGTGAAATGATTCTATTTTTTGATTTGGTTTGAAGTAATCTTTTGTTTGTGCATTCAATACAACAACATCATGATTACTTAGAATCAACGAGTTTGCAGGCCAAATGAGTTTGAAATTGATGTACGCTGGCGTTCCTGTCACGTAACCTGTGTTTAATTATAATTCACATGTACAATTATTAGAAAAAAGAAACATTAGTCAGGTGTCGTAATCAGCAAACATGATGGTCATATAAAACCGATTCCTGTATACTTTAAAAGGTGTTCTGGTTAGTTTTCGTTAAATATTAAGTTACACATAAAGTGTAAAGTTGTATGGATAATCGTATTTCAAAGTTCTCTGTTCTTTTTTTACAGATCATTGTTCTAAAATCAGTAGATAGGAGATGTTCATTGAAAAATCTTATTATTTTGAACAGTTCTATCTTTTCTGACATATAGCCATTAATATAAATTCTTTTATCAGTTGTCAGATAAAACTATATCATATGAAACACACCATTAAGTTATGAAAATTAAAGAGTATGGTTGGTATTCAACCAGGTTAATTAGTGATCACAGGCAATTCACTCTTACTGAGTTCCATGATCCTCCCAATTTTAAATAAAATTATTTTTGTTGGTTCAGATGGTTTGTGGAGATTGTAGATTTTTCATAGTTTTGAACAATGAACTTATCTAAACTATCACTGAAGTACTGGACGCCCTGGGTATTTATTTTAACTACTCAGCAGTATTCATCTTCTAACCACATTCGGTCTCTCATGTGAACACTTAACCCCTAGATACCTGGTGTAGTTTCATGTATACTTACTGCTAAACGGTCTTATACTATGATAAAACAGATGTCTATTTCTTCCAAGGTTTCAATAGTGATTTAGCTAAGATCCGTTCTTGGTTTAAAATTGAAAAATATTTTTAGATTTCAGTATGAAGGATTTCGCTTATTAATTTTTTCGTGTCGATGTTATTTACTCGTGATATATCTAAGGTGGTTTCGAAATAAATGCCTATGTATATTAAAAGTTATGTGATCGCTATAAATGACACAATAATGCTTCATTTTCCTTTCAGTGCTCTAAGAAGAAGCTAGAAGTAACATATATGAATATAATGTTCACCAACTGTAATGAAAAATTCATCTGAGTACTATGTCTCAGTTCAATTAAGATTCATCGTTTATTAACGAATTAATTGGGGGGACCAATAAGGCAAGTGAAGAATTTCTCTCCGTTTACAGCAAGAAATATACTGTTTATTCTTGTAGGTGGAGTAACTATCCACAATTAAATCAAGTTTATTCAAATCAGCAGTACTCATGTTGCACAGGCAAAGCCCCCTAACTGTCGTTAACCCACTTAGACCGATACAATTTTTTTCAAAAACAAATATTATACTTCCAATGTAAACAAATGGACTTGACCAGTACACCAGAAAATATATTTGGTTTGAAGATACTGTTATCCACTTTGACAATTGTCATACAGGGTTTATCTGAAAAGGTTACAGTGAAAATATCCTGAATAGATATCTGACGCTTTCGCTTCTCAAGCAGAACCATAAAAAGGTTAATCAAAATAATGTTGGTAGAAAACGCACTACTACAGTGAGCTTGAATTTCTGCCGTTGTAACCTTATAAGTGAGTGATGATCAGCCGTAAAAAAGGTTTTATTTTCTAATATTTTGCATCTAGTATTAGTCTGTGTAGAAAGTATTTTATGGTGAACTGTTATAACTTGTGGTCTTTTGCCTTATTTATATACAACGTAATGATACCGTCAATTAGAGAGCAGTGACTTATCGACCGGACCAATGACGCATAAACCCATACGAGCAGTTTAGAGTCTTGATCGGTCCTTCTTTCTGCCTACCCTGCCTGTTAAGTCAAGAACATCAACCTCGGCCTATGTATTTCAAGCATACTGTGTTTATATGCGAACCAAACAGACCAAATCATGCATAAAATAGAAAATAACCTTTGTACAAGATCTAGCCAAAAAGTGGCTGTGAATGTGAAGGACTGTAATTAACAGACTGGGCATAAGTGAAGAACGGCAAATCGTATGATAGTAGCCTATAGGTCAAAATAAAGCTTATAATATGAGGAACATGAATAAACATAGTTTAGTTTATATAGTAAAATTATATGTAACGTATTTGTACATAAATGGTTCTCAAATGTTATCGTTCGTAATTCTCGTCGGAATATAACCTGAAGAAATCCCCATAATCCACATAACAGGCATATTATTGACCATATTAATTCATATTAAGCTCAAAATAGATGCGAATTGAATGTAGGTTTTAAAATTATTTTTCAATCTCTTAACATATCTCTGTAATGTAAAATTTATTTTATTAGTTTTACAGGGAAAAATAAGTATCTGGATAGAAATAATCACCCACAACAACTAGTTTACAATTTGGGATTAAACAAAACAAATCATAACATGAATGTTTTATAACAAGATGAGTTGAATTATCACCACCTAGTATTAATGTATTTGATAACAGTGACAAAAAATGGAGTGCATTCTAATTACAATGTTACTGAAACTAAATATAAAAGATAGATGTAGACACTGTGAATGAAAAGCCGTGTAAATATACTATCATCATGGTTTAGTTGCTAAATAGGCTTTTAGTTTTTTCTATATTTGTGTAAGATTATAAAAATACTGTTTGGGTGAATAGTTAGTTATGGAAATTAAATCTTCAAAATAAGACAAAATGATAAAGAGCTCTGTGTGGTACGAAAAATTTACTTATCTAACTCTTTAAAGTGAGAATATTATGAAACCATACAGTTTGTTAGTAATTAAGGTAAATATTTGCAATCTGCGCACTTGATTTGGAGAAGTAGTGTAGACATTAAATGAGTATGATTGTATATTTTGAACCTGGGTTCGAATCCCGTGAGGCAGGGTCGTGGATGCGCACTGCTGAGGAGTCAAACAATAGGACAAAACGTCCATCCAGTGATTCCAAGTTTTCCTTGATGATCTAACTCCAATTGACTCATGATCTCAACTACTGAAATTACTACAATCTCCAAAAAACTATTTCTATATATTTTGTCTTTGAATAACAGTTCGGAATATAGTATTTTTTTTCAGGATAAAGAAATACAATTGGGTTTATTAAATACAGAATCGATCTGTGGAAATATCAAGATGATATATATACGTAAGTACTTTGTTAGTATCTATCGAATTCTTAGTAGTTTCAATATTTACATACAATAAGATAAATGGCATTAACATCAAAGACAATCGCAACACTGTACTACTGTACTACAGTAACCCATATCAAATATGTAATAGTTATGAAATCGACATTTAAAGTAAGTGATAAAGAAAAGAATTCAGCTTCGATTTGATTAAAAGAAACGAACTAAAGAAATAGTCATCAATTTGTAACTGCTATAGTTACTCCTTTTCTATTTAACATTTTTATTCCAACTAGTGTTTATTAAGTTAATTGATTTTTTCAATTACGATAACATGCTTGCCTTTTTTTGCGCAATTTTCATTTACTTTATCCTTAAAATTCAAGTAAACTCTTTTAAATTATTATGCCGCCCCATCTTGTCAAGTTCCCAATTCTTGATAATTCCCATCTTACTGCTTTATGTTTTCTAAATCTCAATTTTTTATATTCTTCTTATTTTAATTTTCTACATGAATAGGAAGGTGATCAACTGGAAAGATTTTGATAAAATATAATAAATTCATATAATTCTGCTTTATTTGTCATTTTTGTTCCATTCAAACTAACGATTGGAACCCTTGTATGAGGTCAATAAATTTAATCTAATTGATTTTTCGGCGAGACTTTCATTTATGAACGACCTTTTGAACGACACTGAAGCGACCTTGAGAGTGGACACCCACTGATTATAAATAAATAGGGGTTATAAAGCAGTTAAAATTCTCATATACAGTTGATGGCTGAGGTGAAAAATTAGATTTCGGGTTTTCATCACGAACTAACATCAGCTATAATGCCAAAATTCTATTTACCCAAATGTATGGATGAATTTCGCGCCAAAAATCATGACTCGTTATCTTATATCTGATTGGTTCGTCCACAAATTGTAGTCTCGCCAATTTTTCTTATCACTAGTTTATTTAACAACTTATATTTCAATATATTGTTACTTAATATATTGACTTTTAATCTTAGAATCTGATCTACAATATTATGCTTATCAATATTGAAATAGAATATCGATTTTATCACAGTATTCATTAAGAAACTATTGAGACAAAATAAATGGAACATATTGAAACTGTAGTGTCGGATGATATTGTAAGCCCATAGATCGTATTCTAGCTTTCGAACAGGCCAATCTATTCATTCTACTTGAGTCATATTTTGACCTTGTTAATTATTTGCTTATCAATCTTGATTGTTTTTATATGAGCGCATATGTGCGTACATTTCTTATCCTATTCATCAAACTTCTGTAAATTATTTTTGTGTGACTGTAAATATTGATTAGCGCTTGACTAAATGGAGTTGGCTTACCTGCCATCTCCATTGTGTGTCGTTTCACTTCGCTCTATTCCATTCGCTTCATATACAGAATATATGTATTCAAAAGTTCATTCTTGTTATTTGACTTATTGAATTCTGTTATATACGAGGATAGGCAACATATATATTTCGACAACGATCATTCATATGATCAACTTGGAATTAGATCGCGGCTCCACTAAAGAACAAAAATGTTTTTTAATTTTCAATCCTGTCTTTGTTAAAAACTTCTTGATTTTCATTTACTTATTCAATATAACACTAATTACATTAGGGTCTTAATAAAAATAATTTTCAATCATCCACTAATCATTTCTTGAAATGACTAAATATTTCAATTCTAAGTAAACTAATATAGTAAATATTGAATTAATAAGGGATAAGATTAGGAAAAATTTATCTACAGAGATTATCAGTTCTTTTAGTGAGAATTATTGTTAGCATTCTCTGGATGACCTTATAAATTTCCGTTTTTACTATTTTGGTGTATGAATGATGAATAAATATCACCCTAATCTTCTGTTTCCTATGTCATTTATCTTTCACGATATCTTTAAAAAATAATGAATTATATATATACGTATTTGAAAATGATGTTTATGTATCTT